ACACAAAAGTGCCAGTGCTACCAGCTAAAACACACACACCAACAAAAAAAAATATTGGAGTAGCCCAAGATATAGCCAAAGATTGCAGTGCCACAGCACTAGCAAAAATTTAAATTTGCCGACTGGAATGCTTTCAGTTAACCGACGTTTTGGATAACCAGCTTTCAGATAAATGACGCTCTACTGTAGTTAGACTGAATATGTTAATCGCCTATTGTATAAAAGTTACGATATAAATTTTCAAATCACGTGATTATTAATTACAATATCTTTTATAATAAAGATTAAATAATGTAAATTATTATTTAGTGTTGTAACATTTATGATATTAGGTACTTGTAAATGAGAACTGATGTGGGGTAAAACAGCCAAAATACATATTTTGCAATCAATAAAGTGCATTTTTTACCATTTCCCTCAAAAGTTCCTGTGTGATAAGTTAGTAATAAAAGCAAATTTATGCTAAATTAAAATTGCAAATATGATAGAAGAAGAAGCTGTAGAAACAACAATGAATTCAGTTCATTCAACTAGTACAGTCACTCTAGTACAGTGTTTCTCAACCCATGTTTTGCAAACTTGTCCCCCATAAAAAAAGAGGAAAAAAGATATTATGATAAATTTATTCCAATGCACAACATATTACTTTATTTGTGCACAATTCCATGTTTATTTTATACAATACAATAAAGTTTATTTATTGCTTTATGAGAGTAGTAAATGTGAAATTGCTTATCAAGTTTTGAATATATTGATGCTAATGCTCCATGTAATTAAAAGTATATAAATGGTATTCCATGGCCTCAGAAAGGTCAAGAACCATGCCCTAGTTGTATTATAATTGTTTTTCTTTTTTTTGTTTTTAAATAGCCACATAAGTAACTTAATAAATAAATTAAATAGATTATTAATTTTTACAAATTAATGTACAACCCAGCAGGTTTATATCTTTGCCGGAAGATTAATTACATAGGAAGGGTGCTTACGGACACTAATATTTAATATCTTTAAAACACTGTGACATTACAAATCTATTATTAACAAAATGCATTAAACTAATTTTCATTTCAAACTAATCAATACTGTAATTTATTGAAGATGCCACAAGCAATATCTTAATGGCTGAGACATTAGACTATTGATGTATTCATGTTATAAATAATTTATTGCAATCTTTCTTCTTTAAGACCCAGACATTACTAAATTTAAAGAATAATTTAATTCATTCGTATTTAATATCTTGATTATAAATATTTATTAAACAATAACATTTTATATTCAATCATTATCTTTGAATGAAATTATGATAAGTTATTCTTAAATGTTGGCAATAAAGTTAATTTTCCTTTGATACATTCCAAGCAATAAATGGATATTTAAAATGGATATAATTAAAACTAAAATAAGTTACTGAAGAAAATACATTAGGTACCAGTTAATATTGACTATCCAAATCCAAAGTTTATCTGATAAACTAAATATTTATAATCAAAACCTTCAGAAATTAAGTTTAAGCTGGCTCCATACATTTGATATTTATTGATTACCTTTGTTCCATTTGATTTGGCATAATATTCCAGCAAGGAGTGGAAAATGGAAATACTGAATATCAGTTATGAGTAAATTGTCTCCAGTATTTGGTAAATACCAAATACCAAATCTGTGGAACCACCTTAAAGACAATTTCTATTTTAGTTTAATTTATAAAATATTCTCCATCACATGACAAATTAATTGAATAAGTAAATACCTATTCAACTAATGTTAAATTAATTAGATATGACTGAAATATACATCAATATAAATGCAGATAAACACTCTTCAATCATAACATGCAAATATAATTTATAAAAGAAACTGCTTAAAGAATATATTAAGTTTTTATAATTTTTTGATGTTAAAAATATGAAAAATTAATATTTATATTCACTTTAGAATATTATTTTTAAAAGGATATCATGCATATATAAGCATTTTGGTCCCTTGGCACAATAACCATTAAGATAAAATTTGCAGATTTCTTTCTTTACAGATGGTAATGATGAATGAGAAAATGGACAGTCCGGTCCCTGAAATGAATAATCAAATCCTTTTATTGACATTGAAATTGTTACAATGAATATAATTATTTATCTCTGTAATTACATTTTTTTACAGTATTTTATTAGTGAAAAGTATAAATTCTAACTGTAAAATATCAATTTAATGTATAAGTTGCTTAACCCATTGTCATGTACGTGCTCAGTCAAATAGAAATTGAACACCCATGGTCAATCGGCACCAATTTAAAAAATTAATTAATAAAAATTTAGCATTGAAAAGCGGGTATTTTTACTTTAATCCAGTTTTATGATATGTTTGTAGTCGAATTCAGTCAAAAAATTTTAATTTTATTATAAGTTATTGAAAATTTAAATTTTTTAATATTAGAAGATAATTAGCATAAATCACAAGATGTCGTGTTTCATCTTCACTTCCATTCAAGTTTATTGTCCTAGACATGTGCCGATGGTTGTTTTACTTCTACTGGTGTTTAAACTTTTATTTTAACCTTGTCCGCTTTGGTTACAAAAGGTGGGAAGACGGGCATCATGTGATCGCTTACCTCACATTTTACCACAGAAATTTCATTATCTTGAAAGTTTTTTCCTCCTCAATTTTAATTATTATTAACTATCAATGGATTCTCATATTTATGTGTTATCTGAAATTGCTGATATTTTTTTTATTATTAAGTTTTACGCATTTATGTTTTTTTCTTCAATTTTTATATATAAAATATAATAAAATTCAAAAATTAATTAAATGTTATCGAAAATGCTAAACTATAAGTGCAGTGTGTTTTACATTATTATTGTGAGCAGATATAGTCAATTATTTTATATACATGTTCATTATTTTAACTTTTATAAATTATTTAATTTGATGCAATGAGACACACTCAGAATTGATTGCACATTAATCAATATGGCGACAGGACTCGATTCAATTACTTTTTCATTTGAGAAGTTCAACAAAGTGTGTTATTTTAATGCAATTTTTATATTTTTACTGATATCTATGCTCGACTACGATTATATTTTCAATTTCTATATTTTCTCTATTATCTAAAAGTATAAAATACTTGTGGGTTTAAAAAACTGATTTTTTATTTATATTTTCTTTAATTTGATCTGTAAATGCAAAAACTAAACTTTTCAAATATTAACTCACTATAAATAATTTCAACTTTGTCTTATTGACATCAGATTTGTTAAATTTCACAGGATCATATTATTTTTAAAATTCAGAATAGTGACTTTGTTTATTTTCTCCTGTACTGAAAGTAATAGACTTTGCTGGTCCCACACTGTGAAGCACAATAAATAAACAGCTAATTTTCTTATTGCTTTGTTTTCAAAAACTTCCTTCTCTGTCAGTAATGGGTTGAACAACTATTTTGTTGCACTCAGGGGAATGTTTTGTTTCAGATTTGACTAATAGTATTGCCAGTAATAAATTCTATAATTTTATATATTTAATAATTTAAGAAATATTTATAAAATTACCAAATATATGTTTGTTCACAAGTACTAAATGATATTGCTACGTTATGAACATATATTTTAACTGTTGCAAAATTAAAAGTATTAGATTTCTTATCATAAAACTGATAGCTAGACAGCAGGGCAATAACACTGAAGTGAGAAAATCACATTATCAAAAAAGCTGAAATGACTTATTTGAAACGTATTGGGATTGATCCTGTCATTAAAACCAGGAGAAAAAGATATAATGTATAGCATTGTGGTAAAGGTTAAATATTCTACATAGTTATTTTATTAAATTGCAATTGTTGCACATAACAATCGCTTAAGTACAGCGCTCTCACACTGTGAGAGAATTTACTGCAGGTGGTGAAAAGGTATTGGTTTTCATAAAATTTCTCTGCAAAAAACGTCATAATCTTGAAACCTACTATGGGAATTGCTTCAAAACATATCAGATGAGAAATACTAAAAAGCCCACACTTCAACTATTTTATTTTTAAGAAATTCAATAAAAACTGCTATGTATCTTCTGGATACATAGTTCTGGTATCTTCTGGATACATTGATGCAGTTAATAAACAAAAATTCTTTAATTTATATATTACAGTCGCTCACATTTTTAGATTCATAAAATTAAAAACATACAAAAATTATATGGGGCATGGTGTCATATAATTTTATAAAATGATTTAAAAATTCCAATGGAAAAAATTAAATTATTTCAAGGTCAAATTTGCATATTTTAGAAGTTATTCGCTTTAAAAATAATGTGATATAAGCGCAGAAGCACACACACTGCTGCTGGGGCTATTTTTACTAACAGCAACTGGCGGAAAATTTGAAAATTGAAATCAGAGATTATGTGCGCCGTAGTGCCGATTTGATACCAATAATTAAATAAAAATAATAAAACACTTAAGCAAAAACTGAATTGTGCATCGTAAAATTGAAGAAAAATTAGACAGGTAATAATTTTTTCAGAGTTTTGAAACAATTAGAATTTTTACACTAACTAATTAAAAATCGATTAATGCCTAATCGGCACTAGGTGCATGCTGACAGGTTAAATCTATAAAACAAAGCTTTTTTTAATTCTCTTGAACTATGATATACACAATATAAAGCAGATATAATATAATAAAGATAATATAAAGATATAAAGCAGGTTTCTTTCCAGAAAAAATAGTGCATTCAAAAGGGAACATTACATAAAATTAAAATCTCAAAAAATCAAATATTTTAAAACTTAAGACAAGTTAGAGTTTGACCCTGTGACCAAGTGAGAGTTTATTCCCCAGACTGTTACATCATCTGTTTGACAGTTTACTCAAATGCTATCTCCCAATTTTTAAGTATTTTTTGTTATTAATTTTCTCTGCATTATTTTTAAAGAACAGCATTTTAATTTTGTATTTCCATCAATTATTATATATTAGATTTTTAAAATATTAAAGTTATTTAATTAATACACTGGATAATCATAATTAAAGTACTCCTCTATTCAATGCTGTATAGAGAGCTATTTAGCTGGCCAAATGCAAACTAAATTTGGTACAGTGGCATTTCAAGACACGCAAATAATTTTCATAAAAAATAATGCTGAAACTTACTGCTGTGAAACTTTTGATACTTCAAGCAACGAATATTTTATTTTACTAGACACCCATATTATATACACCTTAGCTATATGGAGGATAATGCTCAATGTGGTACCCATTCTGAAGATGTAAAACCTGAAGGAGATAAAAAGCACATTTGATAGCTGACCATAAATGATCCTCTGTGATGCTGTATCATGGCTGCAAAATTTTCAAATCATCGATAAACCATACTAAATGTCCTCCCACCAACAAATCATACTGATTAAGATTGGGCTCATTCTTTTTGATGTTTGCGAGACACACTGCCATAGTGGAGAATTTCAGCACTATTTTTTAAATATAAATGTCTTGCACATGATCTGAAATGTCAACATATCAAATTTGGTTATATTTGAGCTGCTAAATCTTTCTCTAGACCAGTGGTTTACAACAGAGATGACATGGCATACCAGGAGGATGCTGCAACAATGCTTCAGAGATGCCAGTTTAGCACCAAGCAGTGCCACAAAACTTTTTACATTACTAAATGTAAAAAAAGCACAACTGGGAGTCTGCAAGAAAAAAATTACCAAGTTGGGTGCCACTATTAGAAAAAGATTGAAAAACATTGCTCTAGATATGTCAGATACAGGTGATCACTTGATCTACATATTGTTAAAAATCAATTTATACTATTTAACTGTTTTTTTGGAGTGCTTCTTAACATCATAAACTGATGACCTCTTCCAAGCACTTTTGGGCTACTATGCCATTCTTCAGACCATAAAAAAGTCATTAGAAACCAGGATCCAGGAACATAGAAAGGATATTGAAAGGGCTCAGGTCACCAATATTAACTCAAGAGACACAAGCAACAGATGTGGAGATAGAAATGGAGAGAACAAAGATTTAGAGGAGCTTAGAGAAGATAGTTTGGATAAAGCTGCAAGGATATGGATTTATAGAAGTTTATGGAAAGACATGATTAATAACTTATTAGGGACTCTGAATTTTTATCCAGGTTGCAGAAAGAAAAAGTTAGAGGGCACTAATCATCAATTTGAAGTCTGTCTGCTTCATTATTTAGAATAATATAACCATAAAGGTTATGGAACATTTAGTGGAATGAATTTAAATAAAAACTAGAATAGTTTTTACCTGATAATGGTTGCATTCTCATGAAGATGAGTGTAATAGCCTGAAAGTACTTGGGAGAGTTCATCAGTTTTTCATGTTAAGACACACTCCAGCAGAGCAACTAAAGGTTAATTAATATATTTATTTATTTTTACTCTTCCTCTTTGCTTCTGTTTGTTAAGTTTCACTTCAAATAATTTCTTTATTAAATTTGCATTCTCCATTTCTAATTAAAATATCAAAGTTATCTAAGATTTAATATAGAAACTTTCTTCCAAATACATTCCATATTCTGAGGCATTTTTAATGTTATAACTAATAAAATGATGGCTTAACATAATCCAATTTATTTTTTCAACATTTTCCTTCCAGTTCCTTTAATCTAATATTCTAAATCTGTACAAGTTCAAAGACTTGGATTAATGTAATCGGAAGAACTAATGCATATGGACGGCAAAATAATTAAAATGAAATTCAATATCTTAATTTTTCATGATAGATAAAAATATAAAATTCTTGCTCTTTGAGTTAAACTTTAACTGAAATTAAAACATAAATCATACCTTCGAACATCTCCCTTCCATGAAAAATTTACACAATGGACGACTTTTTGCCTTTGCAACTTTTCTTTTTTTGTTTAGCAAGGAACGTTTCTTGGATTCTCCGTTTCGACTCCCATCTTTTCTCTTCTTTTTTGTACCTCTTTCGGAGTTCTGCCGCCTGTTTGCATTCTTCCTTGCCACCTTTTTATTTCTTCGTTCTTTTTCTTCTTTAGGTTTATGTTCTTCATCATCTTGAGATGGAGAACTAAAAAAATAAAAAATAAATAAAACCTGAAATACTTTTTAATGGTCTACTGCATAAAAATCTAAAATTTTATTTATAAAACCTCTAAAACAAATAAAGCAAAACAGAATTAAGCCATGTGATTTATTTATATTATTGTTTTAACATCTATCCACAAAACAAACATCTAAATGAAAAGTTTCCACAAATTTAAATTAAACTACAGTAGAGCATCAATCATCCGAAACAATTCGGGACTGGGGTTGTTCGGATAATCGATTTTTCAGATAACTAATTACAGTTTAACACGATTATAACGACATCGGATGTTAATGACAACCCTAATATAACGTCAAATTTTTATCGGTCCCACGATTTTAGTATACTAGATAATGTTAAAAAACCCACTTGTAACGACATAAAACCCTGTTTTAACGTCATATTTGAAGCACTCTTAAATTTACAAAATCAAATTATAAATTTTATTTATCAAAGAAAATACTACGTGTTCAGTCAGAGTCCCTTCCTAGAACGATTGTGTTCGGTGGGGTGAGACGCGCCACCCCTTTAAACGACGTGACAGTGGGTTAGTCTGCATAGCTCTCATACTCGGGTTGTAGTTTACAATCTAAAATAACTGACTTTTTTAAAGTGAATATTTTTATTGTTTTTTTTAATTGATATACATTAATTTAACCTAAAAGTGAAATATATTGGACTTCATGTCCATTGATAGATAAGCAAGAAACGAGAAAATTACCATCCAGGCGTTAAAACCGAAAGTGCCGCCATTATCGACACTTGACAAATAAAAATTTCTTATAAAAAATAATTTTTGAAATTTTTAATTACATCGTTGTAAATTTACACATAATAATGTAAATAAAGTTGATTTAAATATTTAGTTTGCACTTTTATACATACGATATTAAATTAATGAATTTTATAATAGATTCTTAAACAGACTTGATACTTTTATGGAACTGAAATTATGACCCCGCAGATAACGACACTCGGTTATAACGTCAAAAAATTGCCGGTCCCATAGATGACGTTATAAGCAGGTTAAACTGTATATACAAAAAATATATTAACCCATCCCATGTTGAAATTCGTTCAAATCCTGGCACATCCTTAAGTACCTTCTCATGGTCGTGCCAGTGCTGCCAGCTAAAACACACACACCAACAAAAATAATACTGGAGTAGCCCAAGACAAAGCCAAACATTGCAGCACCACAGCACTAGTGGAAATTTAAATTTGCCAACTGGAACGCTTTCGGTTAACTGATGTTTTGGTTTCTCTGTGCTCTACTGTATTATTACCATAATTTTGCATGACAGACCACAGTTATCTTTAAAAAATTCATTTCAAATCAGATACAGATATGATAGAACAGCTTATCATCAATTTTGCTACTTATAATTTATTGAGGAGAACTCTTGATGACTGCTGCAAAGGAAAAATGATTTTCCTTTGTGCAGAGCATTTATTATTGCCTTATTGTCCTTATTTCAATTCTTATTATATTTGTCAACTTGGACATAAATTATTAATAGGACTGTTAAACTGGTGTTAAGTTTTAATGCAAAATTGAACAAAAGTTCTTAAAGAAAGTCTGTTTTCTTTAAGAACTTTTGCTCAATTTTGCATTAAAACTTAACACCAGTTTAACAGTCCTATTAATAATTTATGTCCAAGTTGACAAATATAATAAGAATTAGCATAAGCATCTTTGAAAGTATAGTGTAGGTTATGTGAAGATTCTACTTCAGTTCTAGAGGTTATATGTGACTGCAGGAAAAATATGGTATATTATTTCTAATGTTAATAATTATCATTAAAAGTTAAATAAAATAACCATAAGATTAATTTAATGTTAAGAAGCAATTCGAACCTTTTCTTTTCTGCATTAAGAAGTAAATTATCGTAAGAACTGGGAGATGGACTTCTACCGTCTTCAGATATTCTATTAAAATTCTTTTTAGGATAAGGCATTGGATTAATTGCAAACCAAGTATCTTCGTCGTCGACACGATCATGATCAATGTATCTCTTTTTTTTCTGTTATTTGTAAAAAATTCATTTATTAAAATCATAAATAAAGAAATGTAGCAAGATTATCGTTTGAGGATTTTACTTTGGGTTTCCCCTGATCATTTAAACCATCGTCTTTTCTTTTCTTTTTCTTCTTCCGTTTTTTCTTCCTCCCTGCCATATCTAACTCCTCACCTCCTTCTGATGTATGAATTGCATTATTTTCTGTAGCTCCAGCTACCTTTTTAGATTCTGAAAAATTATTAAAGTATTAAACATCAATATAATAAAAAAAATTATTAAGATGATTTCCACACAATTACAATTACCTTTATCACTATCTCCGTACGTTTCACAACAAGAATCGACAATCTCACCTTCCTCGAGATCAACATCATCCATTGTTTGCGGCATTTCTTCAGTTTCAGTGTCCTCACTTTAAAAGTTAAACATACATTAAAATTTCCATACATAAAGCAAAACTATCATATAAAAGCATATTTTACTCATAATTCTTCAATATACACAAAATTTATCACTATTTGAATAAATGCAAGCATAATTTATAGAGTAATATGCAAAATCCAGAGCTGGGACCATTTCAAAGCCTATATTTTTATTTTTATATTTATTTATATTTTTATTTAAAATATTGTCATTAGAAATTTTTATATGTATACTTAAATATTTATATGTAGTTAACCATAATAATGCTCTAAGTGATAAGAATATTCAAACTGAATAATACATTAAATTACACATTCAAATATTCATAAAAAATTACATAATCATCAGCAAGTCATCAGTGTATTTGACACAGACACACAAGCAACTTAAATTTCCATTAATTCATATTTAAATAAAATTAAAATCTTTTTAAACTTGTACAAATAAATTTCATTTCATCATCATTTTAATAATATTTTATGATTTTAAATATGCTTTACTTATTGAAATTAATTTGTTTGTTTCTACAATGTAATGTTCTCTCTGTAGAATTCAATTATAGATTGATATATGTACTGAACAAATTGTAGACTGTTTCTGAATATTTTATTTTAAATGAATTTTTTAATTTTTATAAAATTCTTCATGTTTCAGGCATTAAATGGTATTGGATTAAGACATTCATGTTATATGTGGGAAGAGGCCGAGGATTGACGAAATGGGGCACAACACTCAGCCGAGAGGGTGTCTTCTAGGAAGAGTTTCTATGGAAACTGACTCATATTTAGGTGTAGAACACATGAAAAAAACCTGGAAAACTCTATGGAACCAGCCTATTGGTGAGGTGCAAACAACATTCAGTAGTTTATCCATTCAGCTGCTGGTGGGTGATAGATGGCAAGACTTACATTTGATTCAAAGTGTTGAAGAGCACTCGTGTCCAATGGATCCAGAAGCACAAAGAGAATGAGCAAACAAACCATTCACTATATATTACTATTCAACTAATCAAATCTTGAACTAATTACTTTATTAAATAGAAATGGATAAACAACCTGTATCAACCCTCAATGCATTTAATATACAAGAACACTATTGTTCAAGGAGCATCATCGGGTTACAATTGTTTCAATCCGAATAATTCAAATTTATTGAACTTTTCTTGCTAATTAGACTTAAAACTTTATTAATTTATAAAATAAATCATCATTGTGAAAGTATTACAATTAATTCTCTTGATAATCAAACAAGTTTGCCATAAGCTAGAAAGATCCCAACTAATTCACAGTGAAATTCCAAGGATTAGAAACTATTACAAACCAAAAAAATGCATTCAAGTGTGTTACAACACCTTGATAAAGTGGTAAAACACTAATATATAATTATTTAAGAAAATGACTTAAGGAAAATATATTCTTTTATTACAGATTGCAATTATTTATTGTTTGTATTCAATAAGAAACAATTTATTGAAAAATAGATAAAATGTCCATCAGTCAAAGCAGAAGATTCTATGGAATCGAGAGAAATAAAAAAAAAAATAATAATAAAAATTACGGATAAAATTTTTATCACAAATTTATAATAAAAACTTCAATTAATTTTTAAGTTATTGATATTTATTTCGAGACGTTGAGATAAATATTTTCTCTTCGAAAAGTAGCCTTTGATTTTAAAGTTCTTACATTTAATGTAATAAATTCAATTGAAAGAATAAAAATTATAGCTGATAAATCAAAGAAACGATAGATTCGGAGCATTAATGCTTATTAGCACATTAACGCCAATTCATCTAAATGTGTACTTAGTAAATTATAAATTGTTTAGGATTTTTGGCAAATATTAAACTCTAGTTTGAAAGAATTGTTTAAATTTAAATATAGGCAATTGTTTATTTGTTTTAAATAATTTTAAACTTTGCAACTACTTTGAAGTCTAATAAAACATTAAATACCTAGATTAGACATAATGTATATTAAGGCCATAAAGATGGAGCTTTAATTTCCGAATCTCAACACCTATTTTAAATATTGACATTCTACAACAGATTAAACTCCCATTAACATTTATGTATTCTTTATTCCCGATTAATGGCACCGTCTGTACGAATTGCCGGAATTAATTTTCTTCGGAACGACGCCAAGGACATTAATTGGCAATTCTATTTTTGTGTCGTTGTTTCATCAGGCTGCGTAGAGTGGGATGGCATGGAATCTATGGGTCGTTATTAGAGAAGATCTTCATTTGGTAGCAATAAATTTATGTATTTTTTTTTAATATTTCTAATTGTTTAATTCAGTTTATTATTATTATTACAATAAACTGAATCAATTATATTTTATTCATATTTTTTAAAACGATTTTTTTGTTCAATGTACAGTTGCAGAGTGCACAAAGGTCTCATTGTTGTCAGTAAACTACATCTATTATGGATTGGGAGGGTGGGGGATAAAAAGTATTTGTGACGTCACGCTGACGTTTACTTTCACCTGCAGCGAAAATTAGGGATTTAATTGATAATTACGAAGCAGCAACGTGGCAAAAATAAATTCGGAAATTCAGACGGAAAATTCGAAGCGCAACGAACGAGAAAAGACCATGTTTAAATCCACAACGGGATAACGAAATCAACACCAGTTGCTAAGGGAGGTGACGTCAGCAATCGGTTGCTAACCAACGCAGCAGATTTTCGAATTGCAAACCAAACAAACCAAGGCCAATATTTATAATAATTTCCGATCGAACCGAAAAATCAATTTTTCGTTCTATTTAATAATATTCAACCTACTTACACAATATTAAAAAAAATAATGGAGCCGATTACGATGGCAACGTAATTGCACGTGCCAAATCTTTAAAATATATTCCAATTACGTAACTCGTTCAGAAAAGAAAAATATATATATTATTTTAAATAATCTAATTTTAAAAACTTTAAATGGCTCTAAATTTCAATTTGTAATCCCCAGGAAAAAAAAAACGACTTGAATTCTTTATATATTCGATAATTTCCGAATTATTCATAAACATCGGAAACAATTTTGTCGCATGACACGGGAGTAAACACAAGATCAAACTCCAAGGCCACAGACAAGCACACACCGTATTCTATTCATAACTATTCTAAATAACGATCGCACTGGCAACGGTTGTTTTTCTTAGAATTCACGTTTCCACATGACGTCAAAGCTAATGTCATCGAAACGTGACCTATTCATTTGAATTTCGCATCGCGATAATACACAAAACGCTACATATATACTTTTTTTAATAATCGCCGACCCTCGACTAATATTAAATATATATATAAATGTATATAATAAGTTATCGGGTTATCTACATGAAGACATTTTTATTTACGTAGAGTCGCCGAGGGGCCGCCATATTAGGTTCGGTTGGTGTATTTGTTAGTTTATTTATTAATGTCAACGTATTCTTTTTTTTTCTTTTCCTCTTCTTCGTATTGGTTACTGAAGTCAAACAGGAAGCGAATTTGAAAGCTTGAAATGTATCTAGCTTATTTTCCTGTAGGAGAAAAAAAACAACAGTTTTACGATTGAGATGCTTCCCCCCTCGCAGAATAGTATCGCCGACGGCCAACGTGACCTTGAAAGCTGTCATATTTTAATCTGATTTCCCGGAGATTTTTCTAACTTGTCCTCAAGGATATACAATTTTTTTCTTTTCTTGTTTTTTATAAAATGTTATTTTCGGCTTACGTCTTGATATTTCTTAACTTTTCGGGATTTCGATCCTGATAGGGAAAAAAAATAAACAAATTAAATTGTGTGAAGTCTAAATGTATCTAGATGTCGCTTTTGTAGGTGACGGCGCCACCCCCCCGCTTGGGGAGCAATAACAAAAGAATCGTTCGAGATCGAAGCGATAAAATGTTAGAATAGCTAACGCAAAAAAAAAATGTATTAGAAATAAACGAGAAAGGGAGAAAAATAATAATTATAATAATAACAGCAAATTCGCCAGTAAGAATAAAAAGGAATGAGAAAAGAAAAAAAAAAATTATATAAATGACAGAGGTGGGGGCGGCGTTGTAAGAGTGACTGGAAGTCATTGAAAACAGCGCCCTCACACGTCACACAAACTAGATTTGATAGATAATTATTGTTTTACATTACCTACGTCTCCTCTTGGACAGAAAAATAATATCTTTTTAAGGATATTTCATATGTATAAAAATCAGCAAGATTAATTATTATGATTAAAAAAATGGCTCGGTTTTCCTGACTTTCCATACTCTTACCGAAAAAGGAGGATGGGGGAATTTGTTTTTCCCCTAGTTGCTACTACTTAATATCTAATACCATTTGTTTTGTGTTTAAGAAAACAAAACAATGGATTCACGACTGTTGTCATACCGATGGATCTCGTGTACGTCACTAGTCATAGCTGTGTCTTCCCATCTACACATCACACACCTAACGTCACATCAAACAGTTCCACAGATAGTCTTGTCGCATAGGAGTGCAATCACCGCAGCAAACCTGAAAAGGAGAGACCTCCGCATGACCGTCAAACGGGTCCAAAACACTACAATCAGGGAGCGAGCAACTGTCTACCCTACAGTGCGGGGATTAGTCAACAACTCGTTTTGCAAGCGCAGAATGGGGAGGAAGGAGGAGTGTGGCGACCTATTTCCTGAAATATATAATTTTTTCCCGTTTTTTTTTCCTTTTAACTAATCGATTTATCGAACTAAACACCCACCAATCGATAAGAAATAAACGAGATATTTACACGGAAACCAATTGAAATCGACTAGGAAGGCCATATAAGGACGTTGAACTAACAAAGAAAAGACACAGAAAAATCAAATTTAAAAACAAAAAAGATAAAGATTTAACCAGAAATAACGCAAAAGTTTGATTAAACTTACAATAAAGAAAGTTTAAACACAAAATTAGATTTAAAAATTTGAAACCGATCACACGATGGTGACGTCACAAGTACGAAATGGAAATTTTTAACAAAAAAACTAACTATTTAACTATTAAATTCCATTAACGTTTACGATTAATTTTTAAAACATGCAAAGAGATAATATGGCGTTTAAACAAAAAAAACAAGAAAAAATTATCATTATTATTATTATATTATAGACATAAAGATGGATCGGGGAATATGCCGAAACAATGGAGTCTCGGCAAACTGAAATGATCCCCACGAGAGTGATGTTTCGGTTTACCTTTGTTTTTCGAAGGAAAAAATACTTTATATTAGATATTGGTTCGAAGTAAGTTAATAAAATAAGTTAAGAAAAAACACCATTTTAACAAATAATATCCGGACGATTCTATAAAAATACTCGACCTGTCTTTGTCTTTGTTACCCATCTGTACAATGGGTGGGTCAGATACACATGGATGGGCCATATGCACGCGCTTTTAGTAACTGTAGTCCGTTAAATCTCAATTCAAAATACTCAATTATCTATATGAGAATGGACTTGATGTCCGACTTCGTCACAATTCTTCATATCTCCGTTCTTTTCCATAAAATAACCTTTACATCAGAAATGGCGCAGTTTGTAATGTGACCACGTGACGTCATTAATGTCGAGCTGTTGTGACGTCACGGACTCCGAAGTGAAAACAGTACGAAACGGAAATAATACCATTGCACATACATCATATTTATTAAGCAATAAAATTTCGTATAAATGTTTAATTTAAATTAAACTTAATAAAATTTTAATTAAATCATTAATAATTTAATATGAATTGTGTTAAAATATTTTATTATCGACGCGGTAGATTAAACTTCGATTTTATTTTATATCTTCGTTATCGCATTATATTTAATATTATTTATAATAGTTTTTTTTATTAAATTTTAATTATTTATACGGAATATTTAAACGAACGGTAATTTTCTTTTAATTATAAAATTTTTATACGAAACTAAACAAGATTGCGGCTGATGGAGACGGTATCCATGACAACGCTTGGCAAATTTTAAGTTCGAAGTTTAGCAAAAGTTTAATGCTTACGTTTAACGCGAATATCTTTTTCTACGGGTAAAACTTTATAGTTTCTAAAGGTGAGATTGTAACTTTGAAATTTATAAGATTTTTTTCTGTTTTAAAAGATTTTATTGTATTAGACCTACTTCTTATTTGGACGTAATCGAGTTAGGCCTAATTCTTATTTGGACATAATCGAGTTAGGGCTAAGTCTGTTAAACATATTACCAATTTTCATTGTAAATTCCTTTATACAACTTAACTTTAAAGCTGTACAGTCGATTTTTGTTAGGAATTTAAATTAATATCGTTGCATTTACTATATTTAATTGGATTCATCGTTTATTGTATAATATGTCACGAAATGTATTAGGACTACTTAGATAGTGCCAACAGGTCCATGTTACCTGTGAGTTGGTCACATGATAAACACTAAAAATTACATTTTTTTGGTGAGAAAAGCACAAAAATGGGAAAAATTAAAGTTGCTTCTGGTAATTGATGGTAAATGCTTTTATTTTATTGATTTTTCATATGTTTTAATGGTGTCTGGCCTTAAACTTGCAGTTCTGATGAGGGATTTGGAACCCTCAAATTTTACACCTTCAGTATTCCGGGTAGGCTAAATTTCGGAGTGTTTTATCATGTGTAGAGTCACGGATATCAGTTTTAGGGCATAGCCTGTAGCTCTGATAATGTCTTACCATTACATTAGAGCTGCATTTATATCCCTTAATTTTGTACATTTACAATGAAAATTTCCAACTGGATGGATGAACAACAGTTTTCAATATCCAGTAAAAACTATCTATTTTTGACCTAGTTTGTAGCTCTTCACAGGTTTAAACTTAAATCTAATACCTGATAAAGAACTCTTTAATTAATTTAATAAGTAATTTGTGTTGGATATTAAAAGGTGTTCATTTCAAAAGTGTTTTCATTTTATTTATATGTATATATATGCGACGGGACTGGCACTTAGAGTGCAGAAATTTAGAGATGCCGTAGCCAACATCTGTTAAAGGGAAATATTTATGAATTATTTTAATTAGACATATTATCTATACATCTGGAGCTGTTGTATGTAGGCATGCAGATTATTCAATGTACAAGGTGCCTAGTAGTAAGAGAGGAGAGTGCCAAAAACTTTTGGGTCAGCTCTGTATACACATACACCACTCACCAAACCATGAAAAAACATTCAATTTTACCAGCCGTTTATTCGATATCGCGAGGTATCCACAATATCGAACAAACAACTAGTAAAATCGAATTTCACATAGATGAAAATGTTCATAAGAATTTTTCTTTTTTTGTGTCATGAACTGGTGATGGTTTGGTGAGTGGTGTATTTACAATAACCCAGTTTTTGTATACACACATCTGTGGTATGTGTAACTTTTATCCTGTTGTAACTTGCTTAGATAATGATCCTCAAATCAATATATCAATAAGAAAGAGGATCGGTTTATATTAAAAAGTATTTACTCAAATTATATGGTAGAAATTGAAATTGAGATTAGGCATTTTCTCGCAAGTAAATATTTATCCAAATTCTTCTGATGTGGTGTTTTGATTTCAAGGATATGATATCTGACTTTTGTTATTTGATAGACATAAAAACTTTTGAAGTGTATCAAAAATTTCTGTTTATATTAAATAAATATATTTATAAATAACAGATGCCAAGCTTTTAATAAAACAAGCAAGTAAATAAATCTTTAAAATGTATTCTATTATTACTACGTTAGCGGTGTAAACATGACACATAGAGCCTGTACACACTAGGCGTTTTTCAACGTGCGTTAAACGTGCGCTTTTAAACGCGCGTTTTAAAGAACCAAGAGTTCTATGTAGCCGTACACACTGAAACGCCAAGCGCGCGTTTAACGCGCGTTTTAAAGAACCAAGAGTTCTATGTAGCCGTACACACTCAAATGCGCGCTTTTGGCCAAGCGCGCGTTAAACGTGCATTTATAGATTTTTGTTAAAACGCGTGTTTTGCGGGCGTTAGCCGAGCGCTTTGAGATATATGTGTTGCCATGTTACCGTACATGCGATCGCGCGTTTTCCCCGCGCTTTACGGGCGCTTCTAGATTTACGCCGCCATTTTGCTGTATATTCGATCGCGCGCTTTTGGGTAATATCTACTTTTATAATATGGAGTAAGTCGTCAAATGATTTTATAGACATTCTAAAATAATTAAAAAACTTGAATTTATTTTGTCTTAGTTTTGGATACAACGTCACAAACATTTCATGCGTCAGTCTATCTCGTAATATTGGGTGCACCCAAAATTCTCTTTGCCTCTGCCGTCGTCTTTTATAGCGACGATAGAGGAGCCACACACAAGCAATCACTTCCACATCCATTTCCAAACCGAGCCAGTGCGCACGCTCCGCTAAACGCTCGTCAAATGCCTAGTGTGTACAGGGCCATAAATAAACAGCTTGTAAAACTGGATGTAGCTCAAAAACTAAACACACCAATGGCAAAAAACAATAACTTGGAAATACATAAGGTATTCAGAAGATCCATGGCCATAAATTACAAGGACATAGAAACATTTTTCCCATGTGGAAGTTCTTTTACAAAGTGCTTTTGTTTTCCTTGCAGCACTGACAATATTTGTTGTTGTTCTGATAGATGTCACTGTTATGTATGATGCTGCAATCAATAACATCTATAGTCTATGTTCTTTTTATTTAAATGCTGTTGTAATTACAATCTGTATTTGAATGTTGCAGGTTAGAACCTGTTGATGACCATTTAAGATAATTGAAAATGTTTGTCTAGAAAAAATGTTTTAATTGCTGGATTTTTGGTGTTGGTGTGTTATTTTTTGTAAACTGGTACTCAATGATACATACAGTAAGTGTCAAATGTAATGTTATTTAGAAATCAAGATACAGATAAATGAATAATTATTATTGTAAAATTACCGTATTATTAATGAATATAACTTATCGATGTAAAAGCTACTTCTAGCTACTTTTAGATAATTTCATAATAGTTGAAATTATTTTCTGTAATGGAATAAAAATGAGATTTATATTCAATTCTCAATAATATGAAACATGAAATTAAAATTTAGGATAGATAAGAATTACAAAAGTTTGCTTAATATAGTGATTCATCTAAAACAATTTATATCATTTTACTATTTATTTTAAAATATATTTATTATTAATTCCAGAATATTGAATTTCTCTTGCAAACATGCATTTTTTTTTTAATACATAATTACTATTACTCACATAAAACTTACTGTATATCATCTGTTAGATCCATTGTTTAATAAAATAGGCATAAAACTTTGAAGATCTCAAAATCCAGCAAGAAAATTTTATGTAGTAAATACTTTCAACTGTTTCTTTTTTTAAATGACCATCTTTACATTACACTTCTATATAATGTAATGTTTTTGGAACTGTTTTATTATAGCCCATATATCAAAGTACAGTACAGTAAATGATTCATTGTTTATAGTTATACACATGTTAGCCTACTATGAAAATTTTTCAAAAATTGGCTACATATAATCTACCTATAGTAAAACCTGTCCAAAATAGTAACCTGAATAAAATGGGAAAAATCCTTTGGAATGGACTGATTTTCTATGTTTAAAAAAGCTGTTTGAAACAAAAAATTTGTACCATGTAATTCTGATTTAAACAGGTTTTACTGTACACACATTTTCCCAAATGAAGCAACATAATTAATCTATCTATGTGATGCTCAACACCTCTACACAGCTTGGACTTTATAGATTTTGAATGTTGCACCATGATACTAGGATAATTCCTTGTTCCAAAGTTCACGGTTTCTGATAACTATGCCATATTTTAAAATTGTTTTTCATATATAGGTGTTTAATCTAACAAAAGTTTACTTATTATCACAAACCTATAAAACTCTGTATAAAATTTCATCTTATTTATTTATTGTAATGGTTTTTAAATTTAATCTATCTCTGCAATGCCATAGAAGTGCAATTTGATTGTACTTTTATTTTTCATTAAAACTCTTGTGTGTTTACTTTTAGAAAAATGTAATACTGTATTATATTATCTAAGTTTTTAAATAATATTTAGTTTTGAAAAACATCTTGTGGAAAAAAGTATATTAATTAACAAGTAGCGTAATACAGTCGACCCCCCCCCTATAACTTGGTAGATACGTTCCTGTTTTTATGAATCCAGCTTCTAGAAGTCCAGCCAATCACAGCTCGGCACGTATGCAGTTTACGGATTACGGTTGTTTGAAAGGTTTTCTTCCATAAAATTAATCGATTCGAGACTAATTCGACTCAACATTTCCAAAATACGTATAATTTTTTGGGAATCCATAAAAACTATGCTATAAACAAAAAAATTGTAGGATTACTTACTGAGTGTGCACCGTTCGACTACACCGTTGCTTAAGCTTGTTTTTGTCGTGGAGATTGTCATCGAATGGCGCTTGCGTGCTTCCTGATAAATTATTTTTTTTGCGAAAAATTTGCTGAACTTTAGAGACATCATTAATATAAATATAATTTTTATGGACGTTAAATAATAAATGGTTTTTGGTAGGTCCGCTTAAACTCGACGGTTTGTGTAATCCTGTCACGACACGAGTTGGCGATGACATTTTACTGAATTATAGGAGTTTTTTTTAGCATGTTTGTACGAATACTGTCGCAATTTTTTTGTCGTGATATAGGAATTCAAACTGTAGGAACCTGTGTTATAGGTGGGTCGACTGTACTTGTTTACTATATGATAACTGATGGTTTTTACACAATAGAAATAACATTAAATAAATGTTTTAAAACAATTAATGTGATTTACAATTAAAAACTTACTAAATCAAATGATTCACACTTTGTATTTATTTTAATTCCAAAACATTTGTTATAGGAATTGACAATATACATAATCTGACAAATTTTAATAGATTGTATATGAATAACAGTTAATTTTGTATTTTTAAAATTAATTTTAGAACATGTTTTACCTTGTTATGAAACTAATTTTATAGAAGGATAAAGGTTATTATATATACATGATATGCTTTATCTTTTGTTATGGTTAT